GTAAAGTTCGTGTGTTGGAACCAAATCCTCAACATGATGATATTTGGAAGTGATGGCCTTTGGGAGGTGATTAGGTCTTGAGAGTGGAGCCCTCAGGAATGCAGTTATACTCTTATAAAAAGAGACCCCAACGAGTCCCCTTGCCCTTTCTGCCATGTGAGGACACAGTGAGTAGGTGGCATACCCACACACACACACACACACACACATGTTCATTCATATATGTATATATTCATTCACATATACATAAAATATATGAGAAATAGCCTTGGGAAATAGCACTTGAACTGTTTTGCTAGAAGATCAGTAGTAGCTCACCTCGTAGTTTCCTCAGCATGAATACTGAGGGGTTTCCTAATTTGGTGGTACAGATTATTCCAGGGTTTATCCTGTGGGTGGAACCCCCACTCTCCCTCACTTTCCGTCACTTTCCAGCTCCCAGTGGAGTTACGGAATGCAGAAGGAGACTGCAGGAAAGCATTTGAGAGAGCTGCCCACCAAAAACAAACCCAACCCAATTCCAGATGACTTGGCTCCATTTTGAATGGGGCTTTCTTATTGTTCTTTTTCCCTTTGAAATTGGTTTTCATTATCCACTGTTTCCCTAAGTGGATAAGAACTGAAAACTGTGGCCATTACATTTTAATTGGGGTTGGGATTATTAACCGATTAGGAATTTAACTGATGTTTTTCTAGAAAACTCAACTTGCTGGCATGAGAAAATATTATTTTGCCCCAATTTTTCATATGTTGATGCAGGAGTGTAGGAAAAGTCACCCAATGTCCAAAATAAAATATTTTCAAGTAGTAAACTGTAACTCAATTCTACATTTCTTTTATTGTGTAACAGATTACAGGGACCCTTGCAGTTGTCACCACTAAATAGTTACCTATCACAACAAATTTCATCCTACAACTCTTATTTGCTCGTTAACTTCTGTTAAGTGGTTTGAGACAGTAAACAATTCTTTCTAACTCTAGAACTTCCAAACAGAATGGTTTTAAAGAATTAATCATACCCATTATTGAAAGTAGTCCCAGAAAATATGTGATGTGATATATTATCATATATTCTCCATTTGTGAATATAAAGATATCAAATAGGAATTAACCTGTTTGTCACCAACTTAGGGAGACAAATGGAAAACCCCAATCTATATTAAAGATCTAATTAATTTATCAGCTGTTTGCCTCATCACTTGAACAAAATAAAATGCCATTTATAGAAATTATATAATTTTGTCATATTTTATTTTCTAGACTAGTTTTATAATTATCTTAGCCAATAGATTTCAGCTGGTTATGTCATTTCTTATTTATTATTGTTGTTCTTGTAACTTGGAACTTACTATTGGTGATTAAAATGACTTTTTAGATTGACTATTGAATGATTCAGTAGATCAGTATCTAACCTACACCCAGGAAATAAAACTTAACTTACTTTTTAATCTCAATATTATAGCTACACTATTTCATAGAACCTAGATTTAATCTTCAGAATTTTGGAAGGAGAAAGTGGCAGGCAAAAAATGACTGACTTAGTTTTTAGTGAGACAGAACACAAATATACTTGCTGCCCTTAAATGGTCAAATGTGAAACCACATTGATCCACCAACCTGTGAATGTTTAAAATCTGTCTAGTTCAGCTCTTTTCAATGCCTGGAACATTTAGGAATGTAAAATTAATTTAAAAATGCACTTTAAAAACAGGTTTCAACTCAGCTCCTCAGAGGAGGAGTAAGAGTATTGATAATCATCTGATCAGATCTTCGGTTTCCCTAAGAACTCACAGAATACTTACAATCTTTCCATTCCTATCATACTTGTGTTTTAGACATCGGGGTGTAAGACTAGTTTTGTCTGTACATTTATTTCACTGTCAGTTGAGCAGGGTAAGGGAGACCCGGATTGATGTCTGAAACCAGAATTGCCTGATTCTTGTTATTTGGTTACATGAAGTATAACATAAACAGAATGAGTGTTGCCTTGTAGGATAGAAGTTAAAGAACTCAAAGCAGAGTGGATCTTGAAGAGAGTCTGCTGCTGCTGCTAAATCACTTCAGTTGTGTCGGACGCTGTGAGACCCCATAGACCGAGAGTCATATGTTTGTAAATGGATCTCAGCAGCTATTGCCTTTGCTCTTATTAACTACTTCAATTACCATTTTTGCTTTCAGAGATTATTAAATCACTGGCCCCCAGCTCCTACTTCAACCTTTTGACTGCCACACAAGCAGTACTCCTCTTCGTGTAGAAGGGATCTGAGGATATGAGTTGTACTTAGACAGTTGTCGCTCGAAAGACATAGTTAGAAGATGCAGACTGTCTTGCTGTGGACAAGACAGTGGCGCATCGGGGTCTGGGAGGTTCAGGAACATGGTTGGCACTTGGCAGCTGACTAAGCCAGGACCTCCACCGCTGTGATAGCTGCCATAATCAGGTGGGCAACAGGTCTGCCTGATTTTCCATTAACTCCACACCACCATGGAGTGAGCAAATAGGATCACCCCCAAAGCAGAATAAGCCTATGCTTCAGCCACCAGCAAAGCAAAGGCCAATCCCTCCTTCTCTCTGCCCCTCTATCTAATCAGTTGAAGGCCTTAAAAGATTGAGATCCCCTAAGAAGCAAGAAATCTGTCTTTAGACTCTGACAGCAGCATCAGCTCTTCCCTGGGTCTCTAGTCTGCCATACAGACTTTGGACTTTCTAGCCCCACGATTGTATGAGCTGACTCCTGAAACTCCCTTTCTGTCTCTCTCTTATTCCATCTATCATCTACTACTACTACCTATCCATTCACTACTGGTTCTGTTTCTCTGGAGAGCCCTAACAAATACAGTGGCATTTCTTCAGAGGTGGTCACTGAAGAAATGGGATGGAATAATATCCCTAAAAGTTTACTGGTGTTTTATGTTCCTATTACTTCTGCCCTTTGCCTGTCCCTCAAGCTAAGGTACTCATTGCTTCACAGCAGATGTAACAGAAACGAGTCTTTCTTGCTTTGGTTTCCAAAAGCCCTATGGCCCTTAGGGGACTGTACTGACTCCATCTAGAGCCAAAATATATGGGAGACATGGGGTTTCAGAAGAGCAGTGTTTCCTCTGGACTAGACAAGTTACCCCAGACCTTGGAAGGAGAAGTGAAAGGGACATAAGAGGCCAGAGATATTGTTAGTCCTGAAGTTCCAGTGGAGGTGAGGTGGGTAGGTCAAGAGGAAGGAAGACCCTAGCTACGGAATGACTGTGCAGCAAGTCTGGACTAACAGTTCTTACATAGCCAGGCAGAGTCCTGGTTTCCAAATGAGACATGAAAGCCACAAGGAAAGCCTAGACCACTTGCGAAGAGGCAAAGTGACCAGGAACCCATCCCAGTGATGACTAACGTTTCCATGGCCTGTAATTAGGAGAACAAAGGATGCCTCCGTGGACACCCTTGTGGTTGGATGATGTAGGACCAATGGGCCTTCACCAACCCAGTGACCTGATACAACTTCAACTTCCAGGAAATTAGACACCACCAGAGAAACTCCAACTTGGCTTAGATAAGTTTCTACCACTCTGGAGAATAGGAACTCAATGGTTTAGAGAGAAAGATATGTCTAGTCACCTGGATTGTGACAAGCAGCGTATAAGAGTGGGACGGCTTTGGGGAACTGAAAGGTGGCCATGAGTGTGCAGTGCAGTGAGAGAGCAGAAGGAAGTTGGGAGGATAGGCAGGGGCCAGATCACACACGCCTGCAGAGAGCAAGTATTGTGAGTGGCAGGGGGAGCTGCTGAAAGATCTCAAGAATGCCGCAACGTTTAAAGCTGACATTGGTTATTGCATGGAGAATGGAAGGGGTGTGGCCTGCGCGTAGGTTAAGAGAGCAGCCTGAGAGGCTATAGCAGTCATCCAGACAAAAGATAGTGACAAAAGATGGAAGTTTAAACCAGGCTGATGGTAGCAAAGTAAGGGCATGGATTATTAATATGTTTTAGTGGTAGAAATAACAGGTCTTGTCATTGGGGTGTACTTGTGGAGTGAGGAAAGTAAAGGTTCAATAAGGACTCTCAGGTTTCTGTTTAAGCAACAAGTAGAAAATGAAGCCATTAACTAAAGGAGGAAAAGTCTGAAAGAAAACGAGTACATGTGGGGAAACAAAAATTTCTGCTGTGATTGTAGTAAGTCTGAGATGCCTGAGTGGCAATCCTGTGGAAATGTCCAGAAGGTATAAACAAAGCACAGAGAAGAAGTCTGGGTTGTGGCTACGAATGTGGATGTCATCAGAATTAGCGTTTGCTGTTTTTTGTATTGTTTTGTTTTGCACCTGCCCAATTTCCATTCATCTTTCAGGTGTCAGCTTAAATGTTGCTTTCTCGTGAGGGCCCCCCTCCCCCTCCCCCAATAAACATCAGTATAAATGAGGGGCTCTACTAGGATCTCTCTCTGTTTAACTTTTTTCAAAGTCCTCATCGGTTAGAAATTAAGGTTCATGATCGCTCGCTCCTTATGGATGAATCTCAGCCTGCATTGAGATGCTCTAGGAAAAAAATGACTATTTTTCTATAATGAAATCTTCTAGATCCTAAATTTTAGAAAAAAGAGAAGGCAGGAAGAAAAGAAAGAAGGGCCCAGAGCTGAGTGAAGATAGACGGGCACATTCGTAGGTGGAATAGGAGAGGAAGCTGACAAAAGCAGCTGCCAAGAAGGAACTAGAAAGAATACAAAGTCTGGGATGTGAGAGGAGACAGGGACTGAGGGAGTGTCACTGTGTCCAGTTCTGCTGAGAAGTCAAGCCTGGTGGAGAGACTGAAGTGCCTGTTGGACTTACAGCATGGTGAGCATGGGGGGCTTTGTAAGAGCTGTTTGGATGGAGCTGTGTGAATAGAAGGCAAGTTGCAGTGAGTAAAGGAATGAATGGAAAAGAGGAATGATAAATAATACATGAAGACCATTGTTCCAAGAAGTTTTACTGTTGGGGGAGAGAAAACTAGAACAGTGGCTAGAAGGATATGTGGGGTTAAAGGAGGGTAGCTTTGGGCAATACTGAAGTGTATTCCTGTGCAGATGAGGACAATGGGTTTAAGGGGAGTGGGGAGAAATAACAGCAGAAGGAATTAGAGATGAATGAAGAAAGAAGAGGAAGGGACAGAGCAGGTAGGAAAGTGGTGACACAGAGGATGGAGCCAAGAAGCCTTTGAAGGCCACGGCCAGAGCTGCCCCAGCTGTGCCCATCGCCTGAGGCAGTGCCAGCTGCTGCTAGGAGGGGGACGCCATCGCTGGCTAAGAGGTTAGTCAGTCTGTCGGCAGCCAGACCCTGGCCCCCGGCCAGCCACATGTTGGGAGCAGAGTCATGAGTTTTCTGGCAGGCGTCATCAAAGAGGAAGGGCGGTGTGGGTGAGCTCTGAGCAGCAGGAGGGCAGTAAGACAGGCTTCAGAGGGAGCCTGCAGCTGAGATGCCACCCCCGGGCCCGCTTTGTTCCTCTCGCCCACACAGCCTGCAGCCCAAAGGAGAGGAGGTGCAATTTCACTCCTTTCTCTTACCACCTCTCAGCTCTGCTGCTCCAGGGGGTCAGACCCTGCAGCCCCAGGGCCAGATGGGCACTGTGCTGGCTGCCCCGTGCAGACCTCACCTTCTTGGTGGGGAGTCTGAAGCTCACAGATGGGAGAGGCTCCTGGCCGCCCAGTGGGAGGCCCAGGCTGGCTGAGCCCCAGACTCACACAGAGGAGCAGACCTGGGCTCTTGGCACTGCAAGAGCCTGGGGAGGGTGTCTGCTGCAATACACAAAACCATTCCATGTCCCTGAGTGCCTTAGACCAGTGCTTTTCAGATTTTAATGTGCAGGAGAATGGCCAGGGGGTTGTGTTAAAGGCAAATTCTGAGGCCACAGAACTGGGGTGGGGCCTGAGAGTAGGCATTCCTTTTTTTCTTTTTTTCTTTTAAATATGTCCTTATTTATTTGGTTGCTTTGGGTCTTAGTGTGGCACGGGGGGCGGGGTCTTCCCTTGGTCACGTGGAATCTTCCTTTGGGGCCCACAGATTCTCGAGCTGTGGCCCACCGGCTTTGGACCATCCAGGCTTAGTTGCTCCATGGCATGTGGAATCTTAGTTCCCCGACCAGGGATTGAACTCATGTCCCTGCATTGCAGGGCAGATTCTTAACCGCTTGACCACCAGGAAAGTCCTGAGAGTAGGCATCTCTAACAAGTTCCAGGGTGATGCTGACACTGATGCTGCTCTGTCAGGGCCTTGAATTCATAGCAAGGCTTGAGAGCCCTGGTGGGCCTCTTCCACAGAAACACATATCAGCTCATATGCACAGAACTTTCATACCAGTGGAGAGTCACACAGACACTGGAGGCTATTCTTTGGGCTTTAGCCCCAAAGGACAGTGACCCTGCAGCACATAGGATTACCGTCAAGTTGTTGCCCTTCCCCTAACTCTGCCCCAGATGGTCTCAGAACTGAGAGGACCAAGTCACCTGGGATACCTGTTAAAAACACAGACACTCTGCCCCTTTCCTCATTCCCAGAAGACCAGGTTCAATAGGTCTGGGGCAGGGTGCAGGAATACACGATTTTGATCAAGTTCCCCAGGGGATTCTGATCCAACTATTTTCATTGAACACACCTGAAAACACTAATTACAGTTAGGTTTATGGTTTCCCAGAAATACGTGGACTCAAGCCTGAAGACTTGAAGTAATAAGTATTCTACTGAAGAAGTTTAGATGCTGAGGCTGGTATTCCTGCTCATGGGACCCTCCTGAGCATTCTCTCAAGTCAGCCTAGAACTATCACTGTGACGGCATGCTTGGTTGATCCTACCTTCTAGCATACCAGCAGCTGCCCCCCAGGAAGGTGAGTGCTATTTTTCAAGCATTGGTGATGGATTTGAAGTGGCTGATCGGGTTCTTCCAGGAACTGGGGATATCTCCTTACTAGCCGCTCTGTTAACCCCTTTGTGGGAGGGTTCTGGGGTCTTTCAGACACGTTTAAGTCATAGGACAAATTTTTCTCCTGCTAATGGAGCAGGCAGGAATCTTATTCCATTATCCAGGGACCTGAGAAATGTCACATTAACTTGCTTTATTTACATCTGATTTTAAGTCTCTGGGCCACTGGGCTAGCAGAAAATTTGAGTTCAGTCATCACTAGGGAGCTTAAAACCTCTTTAGGGTGGTGCAAAGACCCCCAGAGACCCTCAGATATTTAGCTCATGCTAGTCCCCTTTCAAGGCCCCTGTTACCCAATGACTTTAGTCAGAACTGTTGCTCTGTACTTGGATCTTTTGGAGGCTGGGAACACCATGCTTCGGCTCTACCTCCTAGGTGCCCTGTTCAGCATTTCCTTCCAGAAATCCTGCTGATTTTCTGGAGAGTGGGCCAGAGGTCAACATAATCTTTAGGGCCTGTGGGCCCATCACCTTCTCAGCCTTGGGGATTCTCCCTCCTCTGTCACCCTGCTTCTGCCTTCTTTTCCTTCCCACTTTTCATAAACTCAGAAGAAACTCAGGTTTTTGGAAAACAAAAGCTAGAAAGAGAGATTGTCTGTAATATAAATCGTTTTTGAAGGAGTGTAAAAATTTCGCTAAAAAAATAGCAAGAACCTCAAAATAATATCTCAATGATCCCATCACAGAAGCATATGACTCTCCTTGATATGACCTTGTTCTTTTTTTTTAACACTTTTTTTTTTCTTTTCGCTACACTGCATGGCATGTGGGATCCAGGGATCAAAGCTCAGGCCTTTAACCACTGGACGACTAGGGAAATCCCATTCTTATGCTAGCAAAGTATCTTTGTCTTTGTCTCACTGAAGGAGCCCCCCACTTCCTACAAAGGGAGGAGGATGAATAGGATATAAACCTCTTTCTATACCAAATCATACTGGAGAGTTTAATAAACCTCTTTTTATACCAAATTAAACTCTCCAGTGGAGATTCAGCCTCTGTTGCGTCCCTGAAGCACATTTACAGATCCTTCTGAACATTGCTTGAAAATCCACAAAAACAGAGAACAGAGGGCAAACTCACCCTGGATCTCATGAGTGTGAGATGTTAGCCCACCTGTCCCATTATCAAAACCTGCACTCTAACTACAGCTTGCTGCCTGCCCGAGGCCTGGCTAAGTCACAAGAAAAGAGTTGGACATATTGTGACAAATCACGCCTGTGGCTGCAGGGTTACACAGAGGAGAGCAGCCCGAGAACTGCACCTGGGGGGAGCATTCTCCTCCCTGAAGTTGACTGCAGTGGTCTCTCTCACTTCCCCAGTGCACCGGGTCACAAAGAAGACCCTCTTCCTGTGAGCAGACAAGCGTTTGCTTCTTTAGTTTGTAGAGCTGGGCCTTCGAGTCTCCATGGCTGTGCTGTTTTCCTTTCCCGCTCGCGCTGCCCCTTCTTCCCTTTGTTTCATATGAAACTCATCAGCAAGTCAGTCTCAGGGCAGGAGTCACTGGAGCCTCTGGCAGGGATCCTGAATGGGAGATCAGAGAGACCGTGAGAAAAATGTCAAGCTCTGCTCTGACCGGATGTGTCCCAAGATGGGAGGAAGGTGGGTCTCACAGAAGAGAAACTGTTATTCATCTCAGTCTTTTGGATTTAGAACCTAAAGTTACACATAGAGTTTACGGAAGTGAGCTAACCCCTAAGCCTCTAAAATATTCAGATGGCCAGGTTCCCTAGTGGCTTTTCAGTATGAAATATTGCCTTGTCTTTCTAGATTTATGGTTCATGAACTGTTAGCAGGTGCCAGAATCACCTGGATGGCTTGTTAAAACGGAATTCCGCATCCTGCTTCCCAGAGTTTCTCATTCAATGGCTCATGAATTTGTATATTTAACAAATTCCCAAATGTTGCCACTGCTGCTCCAGGGAACACACTTTGAGAATCACTTTTTTAGATTAATGCTTCTTAAACTTTAATATATATATATATATATATATATATATATATATATATAAGAATCCTCTGGAGACTCTCCTTCAAAGGCAGATTCTGGGTCAGTAGGTCTGGGATGAGAGTCTGCATTTCTAGCAAGTTCTCAGATAATGTCTATACTGCTGATTTTCAGACCACAGTTTGAGTCACAAATCTCTAAAGCAGTGGTTCTCAACCCTGGCTACATATTAGAAACATCTGGTGGGGTCTTGAAAAATCCCCATGCACAGGCCACACTCATCCAGGGAAATGAGAAATTTCTGGGAGGGAGGTCCAGACATCAACAGTTTTAAAAACTCCCCAGATGAATGTAATTGTGCAGCCAACATTAAAGACTATTGTTTTAGAACTGTGGTTCCCAACCCTACTGCATATTTTAAATGTATGAGATGCTTTTGCAAAATACCTATTCTTTTTTTTCCTCTTATGCTTTATTTTTTTAATTTTGTTTTTAAAATAAGCTTTTTATTTTAGGGTAGTTTTCAATTTACAGAAAAGTTGCAAAGATAGTCCAGAAAGTTCCCCTGTACACAGCACTCAGTTTCCTCTGTTGTTAAGATCTTATATGAGTGTGGTACATTTGTCACAACAGATGTCACAGCTAATTCCTGTTGTTTATTCGCTCAGTCATGTCCAGATCTTTTGCGACGCCAGGGACTGTAGCCCACCAGGCTCCTCTGTCCATAGGGATTCCCAGGCGAGAATACTGAAGTGGGTTGCCATTTCTTCTCCAGGGGATCTTCCCAACCAGGAATGGAACCCACATCCCCTGCATTGGCAAGTGGATTCTTTACCACTGAACTACCTGGGAAGCCTGTCATAACTAATACTGATATGTTATTACTAACTGAAATCCATGCATTTTTTAGATTTCTTTAGTTTTAACATAATATCATTTTTCTATTCTAGAATCCCATCTGGGAAACCACATTATATTTGTGTTGTTTTGGGTTTTTTTGAAAAATACCTATTCTTGAGTCACATGCCTAATAACTTTCTAGCTGGTCTGCCCAATAAACAAACATGATCACATGTTTTCCAAATAAACATAAATACACACACACATTCACAGACCTTTAAAATTTTCAATAGCTTCTCTTTCCTTTAGATAAAAACAAAAGTCAGAATTTCTGGACATGGGACCTGGGTCTTTATCTTAGAAAACACCCTCAGAGATTCAAGTGTACAGCCAGGATTGAGAACTGCTCTAGATAGTCTCTAATTATATTCTACCTGCTCTATAACATTTGCCCATTAAATGCAGTCTGCCCACCAAGGCGTGCAGAAACCTACCCTGGGCAGCAGCCTCTGGTGGCTGACCCCTCCCACTTGCCTGCTTAACCTGCTTTTCCCCACTTTGATCGTTGTCAGTCTGATCCTCTTCATTTGTTCTTTGCCTCCCCAGAGCTGCCTTGGGACGCCTCCGTGTTTAACTAAACAAAGCCCCTCATCTCTGGGTTCTGACCCTGCTCCACAGTCTCCCACACTCTGACTTGGATTTTGGCTCTGTACACTCACCCCCCTCTTGGGCTTCCCTGGAAGTTCAGAAGGTAAAGAATCTGCCTTCAGTGCAGGAGACCCGGGTACAGTCTCTCTGTTGGGAAGATCCCCTGGAGAAGGAAATGGCAACCCACACCAGTATTCTTGCCTGGAGAATTCCATGGACAGAGGAACCTGGCAGGCTATGGTCCCTGGGTTCGCAGAGTTGGACACTACTGAATGACAAACAGTTCTTTCACTCCCCTCTTGGCATCAGCTTCCCCGCCATCCAGTACTGGCTGCCTGCTTAGCCTCCCAGCCACCAGGTCAAGTATGTAGACTCTCTGCAAATATTTACTATGGGTCTCTGAGGTGCCTGGCACTGTGCTGGACAGCAACTGCCTTGTGAACCAAAACAGACCTGTCACTGCCCTTGGAGAACTTCACTTTCTGGTGTGGGAAACAGTGATGAAACAAATGTAAAATGTGTAAAGTATTA